TTGTACAAGAGGGTCAGACATAGGGTTGGAACCGAAAATACCGGGTACTGGGTACCCATACAAAATACACAATTTCGGATCTGCTTAACGGTTCCTAAACGCGGTAGACCCTGTATTCCACCGGGTCCGTCTGCGCCGCGGCGACCCGGTGGAATCCAGGGGCGGACTGGCCATCTGTGTGTTCTGGAGAATCACAGAACGGCCGGTCGTCAGCGGGCCGTTGACGGCCGGCTCGGTTCGCTGACGGCCGGCACCGCCCTTCATTTTTTTAAACGGCATCATGTAAGTTGCGCTGACAGGCGACAGAGGTCCACAGTTGCCCCGCAGCGAGGCTCCCCCGCCCCCCCCGTAGACAGTTCACGAGCTCAGTCACTTCATAACATATATATATATATATATACACACACACAAACTCATTTTGCAGACCCTATCCCTCCGTAGTCTTTCAAGTAGGAGGAGAAATGCCAGCGTTCTCCTCCGGTTTACAGGCACTGTGTAAATTATATATTTAGAATAATTATGATGATGAATGCATTTTTTTACCACTAAAATACAGCAACACATCTTTGATTCATGTCATTTATAACTGGAATATTACAGTTATTATTAACTTTGTCTGTACAAAGTAGCCTGTCCAGGAAATATTCCCAAATCAACAAAAACTGCGAGCCGGCAGGCAAGACGCTCCGCTTCTGAAATGCTTCTGAAACGCGCCTGGTAGGGTATGACGCCGGAGGAGGCCGGACCAAAACTGCGGCGCAGCCGTAACGCGGCGCAGCCGTAACGCGGCGCAGACGGGCCTGGTGGAATCTAGGGGTTAGGCTTGCTCTTGTTGGGCGGTGTATGACGGCAGGACTGGGCACCACTGTATGCCGGAACTCGTTGCTCATGAGGTGATGGTCTTGTACCATTATTGTCTACGCGAGACAGTGCATGTATCACACAGCGAGCACGCTGCAGAACTGTGCCGTTCACTGGTGGATCTACCCTGGTACGAGCTGGTGGCTCACTCTTGCTGCCAAGGGGACATCTGTACTGGTGAACATTTGTCAGCTCTATACACTTTTGCTTCAGCTGTGCAGAGATTTCTTTCTTCTTGATGAGCCTTACAGCAGGCTCTTCATCTGGCTTCTTTTCATAGCTCTCTGGCTGAACGAACATAACATTTGTTCGATGTGCTCCAGTTGAGTTGCCTGTCATGGTATCAATCTTGAAGTCATCGTTCTTGACGATCACAATGGCTGGCTTGGTGTCTGCAATCTCCTGTGGGCAGGTTGCTGATGCCTCAAGATCCATCAGAGCCCAGTGGTCATAGAGGAGAAGTGTGTCTGCATAGCTGATGCTGACACCACTCTTGTGCAGAGTTTCGACCAGATCTCTACTCCTCGTGATGCCATGGACATTGACGCCCAGGTTAATAGCAGTGGTAGTGCGCTGTCCTGTAATGTGGTAGGTGATCATGGAGGCCAGACTGACTGTGGCAGGGCTAATGTCAGCAGTTTTTCTCTCAGGCTGTTTTAGCCAGGTCAAAAGCTTCAACAGCAACTTACATACCTCTTCGCCTTCCTCAAGATGATCAATGCGAGGTGGCCAGGGGACAGTAGTTGTGTCTTTGATCTTCTTAGATAACCGCTGTGCCAGGTTCTGGAGCAGCTGCTCATCACTGATGCCAAGGGATGAGATGGCAGCCTCAATGTAGTCACCTCCTCCCCCAACATCATAGACCCACTGGCTCTTGTTCATTTGATTTCTCTCTTTGAAGCCAATTGTCTCTTGATACTCATTAATGAGCAGGCCCTTGACATACGACGATTTGACATCACCCACTTCATAGCCATAGTCACCGAAAATGCGTTTGTATTCTGCTAAAAGAGACTGCAGTGAACGGATCTGTCGCTCAGTGAAGATGATGGAATCCACGTGTCTAACGAACAAATTCCTTGCCTCTGAGAGAGACACATTCTGAAGATGCATTGCATCATCTGGCTTGAAGTGTGTGTGGTTGACGTATTTCCTCCAACAAGCATGGTGGTACATTATATCATTTGCGAAAGGATCAGACGTTGACTCGATGAGCCGTGTGAGGCGATCCCTCAGGTCCCCATCTTCTATTAGGACTGGGTGGCGCTTGAAAGAGCGCCATGCCTCTGTCTTATCATCACACATAGATTTATGCGCTTTCATTTCAGAACTTGATGTTTGACTCGAACACTGAGCACTTTCTTTGTTTTTGCACCGTCTGGCTTTTTCAAGCTTGTCTGAAGATGACATTGAGATATAACATGACTGATGCATGTAATGACCTCCCTGCCCATCTTGCCATGAAGTGGTGGTATAAACATTACCAAATTTGTCAAGTCTTTTCCCCCTTTTCCGCCAGGCCGCTGCGGTTTCAGGCAGTACATGCCCAGCAAGCCTGCCAAATATGGAATCAAGTCCTGGGTGAACAGTACAAGTTTCCTTTCCACAATGAAAGTGGCTATAATGTGATCATTTTTCCTTCTCTTTTAGTCAACCAGCTAAATTGTGCATCACAGTGAACAATATATTTGAACTCACATTGTAGTGGTTCCTATCCAAATACTCCATACTGATGTTTTGACCATAAATGCAGCGTGAAACCGGGTAAAGAGTAACTACGGAGATTAAATACTGTGAAATCAGTTTATTATCTTACAATGATTTGATTGGGCCCTTTAGTTGGGCCCCACTGCAGCCTATGCATGAGAAGAGCTTACAGAAAATGGATGATTTGATCGGCTGTTTGTATAGGAGGTATTCATACATAAAGACACAGAAACAAACACATGGATTGGTGACAAAAGGAACACGAACATCAACAAACCGAAATATATATACAAATTCTCTCCTTTTTGTATTGTTTTTCTCAAAGAAAGTAAAGGTCATGTAGAACCTAAAACAAAGACACATTGAAGTTTAGTTGGATTAGAACCAGTGTACAATGTGTCTTTGCTCATTTTGCAGACACTTTAGTGTAAAAGATGGACTATCCAACAGTCGATCAAAGAGAAGCAATGTGGCAGGTACATGCAGCAAGCTAATAAACCTTTACACTGTGGCATAAAACATAAAAGATTCCAGTTTCATACTTTAAAAAAAAAAACGTAATATAAGTGTTTATCTATTCATCATGCCTTTCATTTTCCAAAAGTGATTAGCTTGTATGGGCTCAGAACAGTCTCATAATACACACATGCACACAGAAGGATTCACACTTGTATTTCATGATCCGCAAAAGGATTCACACTTGTATTTCTGGATCCACACTTGTGTTTTTCAATGCACACACAAATGTGTTCCGTTTCATATACATGTAAATAAAATCCAAATACAGAAAAAAGTTTTACATATGTACTTTTGATCCTCACATATTTGTTTACCATTAAAATCCCCTGAACCTGCAAACCCAACCCGCTTTCTGTGCATGGATCGCTGTGCATTCGTGTGTGGGTCTTTTGAGACTCCCCTGACGGTGACCCGATTCGTACTTGTAATTTTTTCTATCTATAGCCAATCAGATGTCTCCTCAATTCTAAGCCAATCACATGAGCGCGCCCCCACGAGGGTAGATTTCTTGCGTTCATGACGTAGCGCTTCATGTACGCATTTTGCGCTGTCTGGAGCTGACAGGTCCATGGAGCTTGCCTGCAGGCGCTAATCTCAGGACACTTCCACTCTCCGTACATTGCCACTTTCCGAGCAGGAAATGCACGCAAATACAAGCCTTTATATTATTAAGGTACAGTGCCACTTTCCGAACCATTAATGAATGCTTGTGTACACAAAAACGGCAGGCAAAACCGTTTTAAATGTGTGTTTCCTCTATGGCGAATACAGCTGCTTTATTTATGTCTGTATGAAGTTGTTGTGAGTGTGGAGGGAGCAGCTACAGGTTAGCTTAGCCTAATCGATCAGTGCACTACGAAGCCAGTGCTAGACAGTGAACTGTCAACGGGGGGAGCCCCGCCGGTCATTATCGGCCGATATTCACTCTTAATAGTTTGATCGGTGCTCTCTATAAAGGCCGATCATGAGAGCTGGATCTGATCGATATGGACATAAACGTGAGTGAAGTTTTAGCGAGCTGCATGAGAAACTGACGGGCTGTCAGGAGAGAGGAAAAAAGAGATGATCCTTACTCCCGTGTTATTATCCGGTCATAGTCCGGTAATTACCTAACGGAAACGCTGCTACACAATTCTTATTATTATTATTATTGAAACATGACCGGTAAAATTCAATTCTGTCCGCGGAAACCCTGCTCCGGACTACACAAAATGCGTATATGAAGTGACATGAACGCAAGAAATCTACCCTCGTGGGGGCGCGCTCATGTGATTGGCTTAGAATTGAGGAGACATCTGATTGGCTATAGATAGAAAAAATTACAAGTACGAATCGGGTGACCGTCAGGGGAGTCTCAAAAAACCCCACACACGAATGCACAGCGATCCATGCACAGAAAGCGGTTTGTGTTTGTAGGTTCAGGGGATTTAAACGGAAAACAAATATGTGAGGATCAAAAATACATATGTAAAACTTTTTTCTGTATTTGGATATTTTGGATGTATATGAAACGGAACACATTTGTGTGTGCATTGAAAAACACAAGTGTGGATCCGGAAATACAAGTGTGAATCCTTTTGCGGATCATGAAATACAAGTGTGAATCCTTCTGTGTGCATGTGTGTATTATGAGACTGTTCTGAGCCCATAAGCTTGTGCAGTACACAACATTGCAAAGCATATCATATTAGGAATATAACAAAAGACACATCTAGGGAGGAAAAATAACTAGAAGCAGCAACATTTCTCATGACTTTACATTGAACAGACCAAGTGGCTAACATTGCAAGGTCTGCTACAGCTGGTGGCCACTGTTTACAGTATCCTATATGTCGATTGTCACCCATTTATCATAGGGTGACCACCAGCAACTCCTGAGGTAAGCTTTAACTGATTTAGTCCTTTGTTTTAGGTCAAACTACAGTAAAATCCTTAGAGACCTGGTAGTTAATATCAGCCCTCACACTAACGTGGGAACAATTTGTCCCGGGTTCCTCTGCTGACCTGGGCTCCCCTGGTTCTGGCCTGCCTGGCTGGTGGCCCCTGGCCTTAGGGAAGGGGAATCCGTCCAGAGGGGCGTGCTCGATCCTGCACAGGCTGTCCTCGCTGTCGCTGCTGTAGCTGGGGTTGGAGGCGCTGACGAGGCCGCCCGGCTTGTGAAGCATCGTGTGAACGTTGTCTGTTTGAACAGCCTTTTCCAACTGCGTAGCACTGATGGTTCCCTCCATGTCCTCCACCAAGCTCGGCTCCACCTTGCGGAACGTGTGGCGGGCATACAGGCCGATGCAGAACATCTCCACTATCACACAGTAGTGGTAGATCACTGAGGATGGACAGAGAACACAGGTTTAGAGGATGGGCGAGCTCTCTCCTGAACTTCAGCTTTCAGACAGAGGTTGGGAGAGGTGCTGGGACTTACACTGGGACCGGGTCAGGACAGAGAAAGGGGGGGTGCAGGGGATGACCTCCAGAGCACCCATGGTCTCCAGGATGCCGCTCTGCAGGCCACACAGCACCAACACCACGATGACGCAGATGAACTTGGCTCTGAGTCCGTAGCCATGTAGAGCACTGTTAGTGGCTTTGTAAAAGAGGAGGTGGCCGTAGAAGGACACGAAGGTAGAGACACATATGATACCGTTGACGTACACGTTGGGATTGACTGAGTCCACCTGCACAACAAGAAGATGGCTTTTATCCTTCACTGCTCTAGTCTAGAGTATACCGTCAGCACATTCATAGCACCTGAGTTCAATTTGTCTTAGTTAGTTCAATGTACACGCATGTGCAATATATCCTCATGCAATTCAAGATTGAATTGTTCTCTCAATTTGTTTACAATTGGCAAACAGTACCAGCTACCTCTCACATTCTTATATGGTCACTTAAAAAATAAATATACTTATTTTTACCATGGTATACTTATCTATTTGTTTTTTTTACTCATTGTGTTTCTTATTATAAATAGCGTGTGCATACTTAGTTATTTTGGATTTTTAATATGTAAGTCTATTCTCTTCACTTTATCTGCAGTATACTTCTGCTGTTGTAATAATGTAAATGTCCCTGTTGCGGGACAAATAAAGGAATTCTGATTCTGATTCTGAATACTGCAGCTTCAGTCATGTAAGGCCTCAGAATGCTTATTATTGTCGAGTGATTGGCATGTTTTGGTGATGTCCAGGAACCTCTTCATTTTTGGGACACTGGATATGGAATGTCCTTGCTCAAACAGGAATAGAGGAATTCATATTGTAGACATGAATTGCCAACCTTAATTATCCTAAGATAAAATATGACCAGCTACTGAATAGACTTATATTGCATATCTCACTTGATTCAGTAGCATCATCTGGATGGAACATCTTAACACATATCTAATATTTAAATTTGTATAATTTTTATGTTAAGAGCTGACAGTAAAATGCATAATTGAACATGTTTGTGGTAGCAAACATGTGATCAAATAACACTATATATAAAGTATATAAATCCTGTTGAAAGTCTGTCACATATTAATTTAATTCTGTTGACTCTATAAACAATTTAGTAAAGGAAAGGATCTGCCCACTCAGAAGGTACCACGATCTGCTCTTAAACTGTGTTTATCCAGAGCCTGTAAAGGAAGAGTGCTGGGGAAAATCTGACATCCTTCATATTATCAAATATAATATACGACCCGAGCACAGACTGTACTGACAGCGTTTGGTCCTGGGGTCTCCTGCGACACTTTCCCTGCACAGGTTGGTGTTAAAGCAGCCTTAATACTCGATGGGGGATTAAGCATGGATCAAAATTCAAACAATTGACTTACATCACCATAGTCATACTGTTCATCTGTCCACAGCACCAGAGTGACGAAGAACAAGATGCTGCGGACCACCGAGAGCTGCAGCACCGCCGCCATCATCCAGGCCCGGCTGCTGCTGCACAGAGAGACAGTCACTGTACTGCTGATCCAGGACCAGTCACTATACTGCTGATCCAGGACCAGTCACTATACTGCTGATCCAGGACCAGTCACTATACTGCTGATCCAGGATCAGGCACTGTACTGCTGATCTAGGACCAGTCACTATACTGCTGATCCAGGACCAGTCTCTATACTGCTGATCCAGGACCAGTCACTATACTGCTGATCCAGGACCAGTCACTATACTGCTGATCCAGGATCAGGCACTGTACTGCAGATCTAGGACCAGTCACTGTACTGCAGATCCAGGACCAGTCACTCTACTGCTGATCAAGGACCAGTCACTCTACTGCTGATCAAGGACCAGTCTCTCTACTGCTGATTAAGGACCAGTCACTGTACTGCAGATCAAGGACCAGTCTCTCTACTGCTGATCAAGGACCAGTCTCTCTACTGCTGATCTAGGACCAGTCACTGTACTGCAGATCCAGGACCAGTCACTCTACTGCTGATCTAGGACCAGTCACTGTACTGCAGATCCAGGACCAGTCACTCTACTGTTGATTAAGGACCAGTCTCTCTACTGCTGATCCAGGACCAGTCACTGTACTGCTGATCCAGGACCAGCCACTGTACTGCTGATCCAGGACCAGTCACTGTACTGCTGATCCAGGACCAGCCACTGTACTGCTGATCCAGGACCGGTCACTATACTGCTGATCCAGGACCAGGCACTGTACTGCTGATCCAGGACCAGCCACTGTACTGCTGATCCAGGACCAGTCACTATATTGCTGATCCAGGACCAGCCACTGTACTGCTGATCCAGGACCAGTCACTGTACTGCTGATCCAGGACCAGGCACTGTACTGCTGATCCAGGACCAGCCACTGTACTGCTGATCCAGGACCAGCCACTATACTGCTGATCCAGGACCAGGCACTGTACTGCTGATCCAGGACCAGCCACTGTACTGCTGATCCAGGACCGGTCACTATACTGCTGATCCAGGACCAGTCACTATACTGCTGATCCAGGACCAGGCACTGTACTGCTGATCTAGGACCAGTCACTATACTATACTATACGAAGCATAAAGGAATTATAAAAAACAATTTTAAGAAAACTATTATAACATAAAAATATAGCAATATTTACATTAAATATAGATTTACCCGTAAAAATAGAATAAAACAAAAATAAAATATGAAATAAGAAATGTGCAGTATTGGTATGACAAGTAGAAAGCCCTAATGTGGGAGGGTGGTGCAGGACTGACAGTTTTGAAATGAACAAGATATTGTTTGCAATATCTGATATGATATAAATACTGATATCATGTTAATAATACACATAATGTGATTGAAACTTCTGAAGCAATGGAGACAGGACTCAGAAGAGACACAGGGAGAGCTGGCTGTGCCACAAGGTGTCACAGAGGTTGCCAAACCAATTCTGAAGATCTCTACCCCAGACCCATGTATTTAGCTGGTTCTGAGAGAATAATCAACATGCTGCAGAACAAGAGAAAACAGGAGAAGCACAATAACTCTATCAGCTGAAGCCAGCAGGCAGGAAACGGGAGACAAAACACTGAGAGCAGCCCAAGGTTGAGGCCTGTGCTCAGTGAGGGCAGTACAGACTGATAAACTGGGTCAAGGTGTGGGCCCAGGAAAATATTTCCCCAACACATAAGATAATAATTATCGTCAATAATCCAGCACCTCCTAAACTAAACTAAACTAAATGTTGCTCTCGCCCAGTATAATTCATAGACTTACACACATACATGCACACACTCACCCACACAGACACGCACTCACTCAGACACTGGCTGACAAGGGGAGAACAACAAACAGCTTCACTGTCACAGCTAGTAAACATGTAAAACTCAGTGCAGGTGTATTCTGTTACTCAGATGTATGAGTGGGTGTGTGTTTTGTGTGTGTATGTACCTGTTGATGGCCACCATGGGCAGGCAGCAGCAGCAGCAGCAGGGGAAGGGGTCTGGAGATACCTGGTGTCCAGACAGAGCCGCCAACATACGAGCTTTCCCCCCGAAGAAGTCTGTGATCAGCCCCATGAACTTCAGCAAGGTGGTGGAGTGATACCTACACATTGATTTAGTTGTGTGTGAGCTGGATCTAACTAATGGCCAACAATTCTGAAATTAAATCTTTAAATCTCAAGCCTTGTGAACTCACAGTGAGGCGATGAAGTTACACAGCGAGGAGGAGCGAGGCACGTACAGCGCGATGAGAGAGGTCAGGGCAAACACCTGAGATATAACAACAAACACTGAGACAGAGGGCACCCTGGACCAACACTAATTCAGGATACTTAGGATTTGAAGTGGATAATCATTATTTTTCATGTGAGGAGGTTGATGTTACCGGGTACATTCCTAATATCCACAGGTAGAGCCGCTTTCGTCTGGATGAGGGAATGTGGCGCAAGAAGAAGCCCACCTCCTCCAGAAACAGACCCAGCAGGATGAGCGCCAGGCCGGCCGGGATGAGGAAGAGCCACAGCTCGTCTTTAATGGCTGACCAGAGATATAAAGTCAGTCAGTGTCTCATTTCCCCCGTGTCATTCCACATGGACATGGGTGAACAGTGACACCATGCTGATAAAACACTGCAGCTGAATAGGAAGCCCCTTCTTTCCCCCATCTGTGGTTTGCTCTAGTATTTTTCTCCACTTTTCCCAAATTGATGGCCCACATTTTCAGATTAATACATCTTGAAGAGAAATTGAATAAGAAGATAAATACATTCACTGGCCACTTTATTAGGTACAGCTGTTCAATTGCTCGTTCACGCAAATATCTAATCAGCCAATCACATGGCAGAAACTCACTGCTTTTAGGCATGTAGACATGGTCAAGACGACCTGGTGAAGTTCAAATGTCAGATTTAAGTGACATTGAACGTGGCATGGTTGGTGGTGCCAGACGGGCTGGTCTGAGTATTTCAGAAACTTCTGATCAACCATTTACAGAGAATGGTCAGAGAAAGAGAAAATATCCAGTGAGCGGCAGTTCTCTGGGAGAAAATGCCTTGTTGATGCCAGAGGTCAGAGGAGACTGGCCAGACTGGTTCAAGATGATAAGAGGCAACAGTAACTCAAATAACCACTGGTTACAGCCAAGGTATATGCAGAAGACCATCTCTGAACACAACACATGTGGAACCTTGAAGCAGATGGGCTACAGCAGAGAAGACCCCACCGGGTGCCCCTCCTGCAGGCCCGGTTCCAGAACAAAATGACTTGGGGTGCATCTGAGATTACAGGGGGCGCAGCAGTAGTAGGCTTACATGAGCAATAGTGGCTGGCAACAGCAATGAAAAATAGCCTTGATGTTATGGTCCCCAATGAACAGATTATGGCATTTGTTATGTTTTGAAACCAAGCAAGTGAAAACATTTCAAGTGGGTGCAACAAATATTTAATATAATCCAAAGTGGACTATGGCAAAGAAAAGCACAAAAGCTTCAAAACTGTACTGATAAAACAAATGAGAACATATTGTAAATCAAGGCAAATATTATTTGAACCAGCTCATGGTTTGAAATGGCAAACATTAAAAGGCAAAAGTATTATTAAAAGCATGTACTACATCATCACCTTGGTCCCATCATATACTCTGGGAAGAGAATATTTACTGTGCTTGAAAACTGGTATCACATCATCATGTGAGGTTGACTTTGTGACCTGGAGAACATTTCAGCTGCAACATTAGCTTGTTGATAAGCTTGGGATATGAGATCTTTTTGTAGCCATTCGTGGTGAAGGCATCTGTGCTATTATATATGCATTATTTTTGACCCAACATATCTACAGGCATGGCAGAATATGGCACTATTTTTACATGAATATTCTAGCCATTGTCTATTTTTATACCACGAGCTGCAAAATGACCGCCTTACCCCACTGTGCAGGCGGGTACTTGTTTAGATATGCCTGGGCAGGCTCTGTTTTGCCGTGGTATCCTGGCACCTGCATCGTTGTATCGGGCGACGAGTAAGCTCGTGTCCACGACGGCGGGTAACGTAACGTCCCCATCTGACCTGTTGCTACTGTCTGCAGTAGATGTAGTGTTGCTGGCGTTTAGTGATGGTTGCTTAACCATTTTCGTATATCCATGATTATCCACAGATGTGTGTCACTGCTGCGGAAGCACTTTGGAAATGATGCACGTGAAGCGGCGCAGGTCAAGCACACCTGACACAATTTGTTTTGTATTGTTTTGTATTGTATTCTATTATTGTTGTTATATATTTTTTTAAATCGCTCCCTTCTCTTTTTTTAATAGAGGGTGCATAACATTCAACTGGGGGTACAATGCATGCCTATGCACCCCCGTAGAACCGGGCCTTCCCTCCTGTCAGATAAGAACAGGAAACTGAGGCTACAATTCACACAGGCTCACCAAAACTGGTCAATAGAAGATTGGAAAAATGTAACCTGGTCTGACGAGTCTGGATTTGTGCTGCGACATTCGGACGGTAGGATTAAAATGTAATGTGGCGTAAAAACATGAGAGCAGGGCCGCCCCTCCCTACATGCAGTTCACACAGACTGCGTGGGGCCTCATCTTGCAGAGGGGGCCTCATCTTATGATGCCCGTCAACGCTCGCGACACATGTGTGACGACTTGTGTACAGACCCGGGGGGCCTCATGCCACAACTTTGCGTAGGGCCACAAGTTGGCCAGGGGCAGCCCTGCATGAGAGCATGGACCCATCCTGCCTTGTACCAACGGTTCAGGCTGGTGGGGGTGGTGTAATGGTGTGGGGGATATTTTCTTGGCATACTTTGGACCCCTTAGTACCAATTGAGCATGGTTTAAACACCACAGCCTACTTGAGTATTATTGCTGACCATGTCCATCCCTTTATGACCACAGTGTACCCATCCTCTGATGCTCCTTCCAGCAGGATAACGCGCCATGTCACAAAGCTCAAATCATCTCAAACTGGTTTCTTGAACATGACGATGAGTTCACTGAACTCAAAGGGCACCAGATCTAAATCCTATAGAGCACCTTTGGGATGTGGTGGAACGAGAGATCCACATCCTGGATGTGCAGCCGACAAATCTGCAGCAACGATGCTATCATGTCAATTAGGACCAGAATCTCTGAGGGATGTTTCCAGCACCTTGTTGAGGCTATGCCCTGAAGAATGAGAGCAGTTCTGAAGGCAGAAGGGGGTCCAACCCGGTACTAGCCAGGTGTACCTAATAAAGTGGCCGGTGAGTGTGTGTGTATATATATACATGTATATTTATATATTTTTCTTCTGAAACTGCTGTACAGAATAATTGTATGCATAATTAAGATCACCCTAGTACAGCCGTGATTATATATTATATATATATAATATATATATTGATAATACATATATAAACTATATAAAATAGTCGAAACGCCCAAAAAACCATTGGTCCACATTATTTCATAGCCCTGGTCAAACGAAATAATATCTAAAGGTCCCCGACTTTACTTCTTCTGATAGAAAACAATCTGGCTGAAAAAACAAAATGCCTAAACCAAAGGTCCAGAAATTGAGATGATGAGTTATTGCCTTTGCTTACCACTGAAGAATTGTGATGACAGAGGGATCTCAGACCCAATCCAGCTACAGTTGGATCTTACCATACTGAATGTAATGCTGCTCTATTGTCCTCAGTCACATAGCAGACACTGAGGCTACAGAAAGCTGCTCTCAGACAACCAGCACACTGAGAGGCTCCGAGTGCTGTTTCACTTCCTGTGAGTCTGCACACATTAATGATTGACTGGGAACAGGTAAGTGGACATGTGGGGATCCAAGTCCATTATGTGAGAGCAGTCATTAAACCCCCGATAATCCATGTTTTGTATAAACAGGAACTAACATGAAAAGATTAGAACGGACGGACGCGCGCTAACACACTGCAGGGTTACTGCAGGGTCCTTATCGTTCCTCTAATGCTGCAGGGTTCGTGCAGCCACACCTTTCCAACGCCCTACTACTGGAGGGCAGGTCTGATGCTGACAGAAACTCAGACAAAACTGTTCATTCTATATCCCACATAATTATTTTTTAGTCTCCAAGTCAAGTTGTGTGAAGTCAAGTCGCAAGCAGCTTACACTGTATCCTTACATCTCAAGATGTGTATTAAAATGAAAAGTAACAATTTATATTAAGGTACACAAATTAACCATCAACTAGTTGTTAATTAACATGCATATTAGCAGTATATTGGCTCTTTATTAGTCATTATAAAACACTTATTAATGCCTTATTCTACATGACCATATTCTACAAGTAATAAGCCATTAGTTGAGAGTTTTTCCTCAATAACCCATAATTAGTGCTTATTTATTGCAAGTAAGGAAGTTGTTGTACATGAGTTTTGGTCTTAATATGCTCTGCTCAATATGGGCCTAATAAGGCAGTAGTATCACAAGAATTCTCCCATAATAACACTTAACAAATATGATCTATTCTTATGTAACAAGACATGAAACTATAAGCGTTAATTGTGTCTAAATAACAAAAAATGAGGTATTTCAATCTAAGAACATGTTCTTTAAAGTGAAGTCTTGTTCATAACCAATAAGCTGAAGTTGCCTATTCACACTTTGTAAATACATTATAGCACACAACTACTGAAATGAACCTCAACAGTACATGAACAAAGTAGGCATACGTTGAAATATCTGTTTAATTAGTGAACCACTAGAGAGGTTCAGGCACATTCCAAAACATGTCAAGTTTCTCCAAAGCGGAGAACACATGCAGCCTGTACTTTTTAATAACAGATTTTTAACAGAGTTTATATATTTGTGATCATACTGTATGACCTGCTTGTATGTACTTACACAATAGGTGAAAGGTGGTTATTGTGTTTTTGACAAGACTAACAGTGTGTGTAATCATTACAAGTGTGTGTAAAATAGATCATATTTGTTAAGTGTTATTATGGGAGAATTACTATTCTTGTGGTACTACTGCCTTATTAGGCCTATATTGAGCAGAGCATATTAAGACCAAAACTCATGTACAACAACTTCCTTACTTGCAATAAATAAGCACTAATTAGAGCGTTATTGAGGAAAAACTCTCAACTAATGGCCTATTACTTGTAGAATATGGTCATGTAGAATAAGGCATTAATAAGTGTTTTATAGTGACTAATAAAGAGCCAATATACTGCTAATATGCATGTTAATTAACAACTAGTTGATGGTGAATTTGTGTACCTTAATATAAAGTGTTACCAAATGAAATGTAACCTTTTGGGCAGACAGATGAACAGATCTCAGTGCTGCCATGTTCTAAAGGAACTCAACTATTTAAGCTTAATCATTCCAATAAAATGGCTCATATTTAACTCATTAACGCCAATGCACATGGCTTCTGTGGGTCAGTGTTTCTATGTGGAACTGTGAGATGACCCTAAATAAAACCTGCTCTGAGCAACTCCTTCCAACGCAACTGAAGTCAGATCATGACTGGCATCCTGTAGACTCCAGCTGCTTCAGAGGGAACACATGGACAGTCTCTTATTTACAAAAAGGCCCATTGGAGGACTAGCAAACTAGTCTTCAGCTGTGAAGGTATGGGATTAGTCCCTGGTCCATGATATGCACAAAATAAATGACATAAATATGATTATTCACCAAGTTTTTTTAATGAGGTAGGTGATTATAATAAAAGATAGAAAACAATATAATACCAGAGTTCAGGTTGTCAGTCTGTCACCATGCTATCTGCAGTTAGGAACCATTTAAGAGAAGAAGTAATAATAATAATAATAAACACATAGCAGCTGTAATAAAAAGTTGTAACAGAAGAACATATGAAATGTTATGGACCCTTAATAAATGTTCATCAGTCTAAGCATGCTAAACTGCTGAAATGCTTTTGGAGAAGGACCTCAGCAACATAACAGCAAGACTAATTCTACAGCATACAGTATATGTGTGTACAGTATATACAGTTCACCTGTTCTATGCTTCATACTGTCAATGGAATCAAATCAATGGATCATTTTCTGCAGTTCATCTCCACTCATACAGTGTAATAAGGTGGTTCCTCTGTGCTCAGTAACTCTGTCTGTGACCCTCCCCACACAACCCCACTGCATTATGAAGTATTTGGTGTCTGCTTCCGTCACGTCACAGGATCAAACGGTAGAAGACCCAGCATGCCAACATGACCCAGTGACTGGCCCAGTTCAGTTCGGACCACCTCTGGACGGTGTGGATGGCAGTGTAACCCTGTCAACAGGAGACAAAAACAAAACATTACACACACATCTCTGTCTCATGTCAGTCTGTGCTGTGAAACAATAATCACTATAACATTGAAATATGTTGTACAATTCTCAAAAGGTCACTGCAGAGAAAACCAAGCCGTTGATTGGATTAGCCTATCAGAGACAGTCCTGTATTCTAAAGCAGGGATGTCAAACATCTTCACAAATGTAATGGAGATTTTCTCAACTTTTATGTATTTTGTATATACATATATATGTACAAAATACATAAAAGTATATATATATATATATAAAGAGAGATTGTATACATTTACAAGGCAGGGGGATAACTTAAACTTCTTCCTTCATAGTTCCCACATTAGTTTTTATGCTGGTGTGTCAGGATTACTACAAACATGTGGAAATGAATGTTATATCATTTCAAGATCTTGAAAAGTTGTTTTGATCATAAAGTAAAATCCTATAGTGTTCAGTTATGTGTCTTTGTAGATACACTGTGATCTGTAAGAGTCATTACATTTTTTAAATTGTACTTAAAAAATGTCAGGTTGTAATGTTTTGTAAAAAGATAGTTCATTAAATGTGAAAATCTTCAGAATGTATTTTTTGCACTTAACCAAAGGGAACAATTTGGAGTTGTGGTTATGTATGGGTTATTCTGCTATGATGTTACTGGTCAGGCCCACATGAGATCACATGTGGCCGTATGTGGAACCTGAACTAAAATGAGTTTGACACCCCTGATCGAAAGCATCCATCCGTTATCTGTCAGCACTCCTCAGAGAGCCTCAGCAGGGACTGTCTCGCTGAGACATGTCCATGCTAACATTCACCTGCATGGCAAAGGACTGTTAAAACCCACACTGCTAACCCAGAACCCTGTTACTGTGCCAGTCCCATGTCCTTAGTATGTGCCACCACATGTTGGGTAACAGCCTTCCTGCTCTCTGCCCCTGCTGGACTTTGCTGTAAATCTAAACACATCACATGTGTACCTGCAGTTCTCTGCTCACTAACTCAATAAGACACTTGTGCACAGATGTTTTCAAATAAAAGCATTCCAGCTACTAAAATGTCTTGATCCCTCCCTTCTATTTATAACATGAGCCTCTGTGACCTGCACTATATATGACTTAATACAGTATGTTAATGTTCCTTATCCTCCAGTTGCTCTCACCTCTTCTACTTCCTGTTCGTCAAGTCCAGGATCAAACATAGAGCCCAGGTAGGTGAGGTGGAAGATGGCCAGGAGGCTGAAAACCAGGTTCAGCAACATCACCCAGTAGTCCTGCACACAAATGAAGAAAAATAACTGTGTGTTGTGTGTGTGTATTTCAATTGTGAACTTAATCTAATGCTAAACTCCCCGCAAAGTGTAATCCATGAGGCAAACAGGACAGCAGGCACGCTCCTATTCCATTTCATAAGATCAAGAGAGTCAAGTTATTTGAATACAAAGAACCATAAATCCTTAGACAGGAAGGAGAGTCCTCCTCATTAACATATGATTACTAAGGCCTAGGCTCCACGAAAACGGGTTCTATCCGCATATTTCTCTTGCGTATAGCCCTTTAAGCTACACGACGCCGTAACGGAACGGTAGAAACAGACCCTGCAAACAACAACGGGTCCAAAGGTGGATAGATCTGGGAACGGAGCGCTCTGGGGGGTCCAACGGGGCCGTGTGGTAGCCTATACGGTCATTCGTTTTCATAGCCCCGCCTCTCCCTGCCTCTCCCCTGCGGGGTTGCTATCGTGCTCCAGTCGCTACTGACCATGCTACAGTTCTTTGTGCACAGGAGCTCCTCCTTGAATTCAGATTATTTATCTTTATCTCGATATGGACATAAACGCGAGTGAAGTCTAATCTGACAGGACGGAGACACGCAGCTCCTCCCGCTGTGATGCAGCGGGAGCAAAACACACACTTCAAGTCAGATCATCACCCTTAGCTATTTTAATTACCTCTCAAACTACCTAAACTAGTTATAAATATGTTTATTTTTACTGTCGGGTCACTCATTAAAGGATCAGCTGCTGCATGAGACAGACACTGACGCTGTCAGAAGAGAGGAAAAAGAAAGGACAGGCTCCGTGTATTTTATTATTATATATCATTATATCGTCGTTATTCATTTGTTTTAAAGCTTAATAAATAACAAAGAAGACCTTTGACCGGCACTTTTATAATTTTGTCCGGAAGATTTAAACTTTAACACACGTTGACCGGCGAAAAACTCTGCCCGGTTCCCTCTGCCCCCACCGCGGAGAATAAACAGAAGTGCAGCCATGACAACCATTCTTCTTCGCTGCTTTTGTGGAGGAAGTTGCTGCTTTTGTGGAGGAAGTTACAGCGCCACGTACAGGCTCGGCATATGTACTGCAGCTTTTCCAGCGGTTGGATCTAAACGGAGCTGTCTCGTGTGGCAAGACACTATCCGGTGTATATTGCGTGTGGGCGGAAGCCTTTTGGCGATTGCGTTTGCGTTAATCCTATGCGTTTTGCCGTATGCGTTCCTGTGGGGCCTAGGCCTAAGATGTTAACTGTGTAGGTGCTAATGCCGTCAGCCCTTAGAAAGGGCATCAGTTGATGATTAAAGTGTGTTTTATTAAAGGGGACAAATTCTTATGCTGATTCATTTATATCAATCTATCTTTAAAATGATATGTGTAGAGCCCAATATGACAAATTACAATTGGCTCCGGGAGCTTTACAGTCTGCAGCATAGACCCTTCAGCGGCCCAGATCAATTCCCCTGAAACTGTTCATCATGGCAGCCATAACTGCTTTACAACAGATACACAGAATTTGCCATTGATAAGTAGATGTCTGTTTTGAGCGAAGCTGTACCTTCTTGTGCTGATGGCTGCAGTCGGGGGGGCAGGGCCTGGAGAGGACACAGGCACTGAAGATGGAGGCAAGCTTTTTTCTCAGAACTGAGGATGAGAAAAATCAACAACCTTGTTCATTGAGGTGTGAGAACCAAAACCCATTAAAGCAATCACACATGCTGGGAGCACACAAGGACCTACATGGGAAATGTAGTCTTTTTTAGCCTCTTGACTACAGAGGTCATGATAAGGTGAACATATTTGCCTTTTTTACAAAAAACTAAAGACTGGCTATAACAGTAATAGTTCTGTTCAATAGATCAACGTTCTCTCTTGAAAACTCCTATTAACAAAGCTGATATGGAAATGGAAGATTTAAATACATTCCTCTTTAAAACTTCACAAGATGAAAGATGAAAGCAGCAGCACACACACAGGAGGTTCAGTGAGTGCATTCACCCGTACCATGTTCCACATATGTGATGAAGCCCAGAGACAGCAGCACAGCGCCCAGATGGAAGCTCAGCCCCTGAGAGAGCACAGGGGGGGTTTGACAAAACCAAATCCAGTCACAACACAACAAACATACAAGACTACTACAAACAAAACAAAAATAAAATATTCAAATTTGGACATAACCACTATAGGGCCACAGAGAGGCCATGAACAAATACATCTGCAAAAATATATATATATATATTACTGTGTATACATATACACAGTAAAACAAACATAATCTGTGAAAGGAGGATCATTGGGGTTTTGTAAAGCTAGAAACTAAAATATGTTACTGAAAACATTTGAGGCAAGGCTATGAAGAAACAGAACCCTGATTTATGTTTGACAGTTTGATTGGAGGTGACAAGCAGTGATTAGGTGCTTTCACACCAAGTACTTTTCCCAGGAATAGTTCCCGGAACTTTTATTTCCTGGAACTATCTAGTAAATCGCGTTCACACCGGAATAAGTCCCTGAGGGAGCCGCTGACGTCACTTCTTCTTCTTCTTCTGCGTTGGGTTTACTGGCAGGCCGCAAACAACTTCACGGCGTATACTGCCACCCGAAGTCCCCGGAGTTGGGGACTGGCTTCAGTAGAAGCTGCTGGGAGTCCCAGCAGCTTCTACTGAAGCCTTCCGAGTAAATCGCCAGAAGCACGGACATCTCTACCGCTCCCATGTTTTCTTTTGTGTTGCCATAAGTTAGTCTCTCTCCATTGGTGCGCTGGGCTAATGCTAATGCTAATAATGCTAATGCGAGCAAATAAAATGGCGGCTTCACAAAAACTTTTCAGAGTTTTACGGGGCGTGGTTTGCAATTCGCCCAGCCAATCAGAAATTGGAACCTTTTTCTCCCCAGGAAAGTCCCTGCTCTCTAGCAGGGACTAAAAAGGGGTGAAAAGGTTCACAAAAAAAAGTTCTAGTTCCAGATCTTTTTAGTGTGAACGCAAAATCCCAGGAACTATCGGAACTATTCCTGGGAAAAGTACTCATTAGTACCTAATGTTGATGAACTGACAGGCCCAGAGTGTTATTTGTCTGACCCGGTATGGAAGAAATAACGTTTGAGCCTCTTGTTATTGTGTCATGTGACCTGTTGTTGAAGACAGCCATTGTAGTATATCATACGTTCACAAACTATATCCTAAAATAATATTAAAAGTATATTTAAAGGTGGGGTAGGTAAGTTTGAGAAACCAGCTCGAGATACACTTTTTGTTATATTCCATGGAATGCTCTTAACATCCCGATAGCAATGAATATCTTAAGTGCTTTGACAAAAAATCCATAAAAAAATGTCATCTGTGGAAGCCGTAATACTGTAAAAAGCACGACCAATCATTTTAGCCGGCCCAGCTAAAATAACTGGATGGCCCAGCTGCCCGTCAGCCTTCCATCTGTGCACAAACTTATCTCGTGCCCTCATTGGTCACGTGCGCGTTCGTGTGTGTTGGAGGAGGGGCTCTGTAAGGAAGTGGCAGATTTGTTCCGGCTGTGTATTTTCAAATTCTAGCGCACTCGAGCCGGTTTCTCCAGAATTACCTACCCCACCTTTAAGTATACAAGCAATACCCCTAACACTGTTAAGTGCCGAGCAGAAAAGAGTCTTCCTGTCACTCACATGCAGCAGAGCGCTGGCTGTGTATGTCACCAGGATGGCAGGAAAAGTCCCCAGTTTCATGGCGTTTTTAAAGGCATCTGAAAACATGGATCATTACGCATTAAACACAACATCCTGAGGTTATAATGTACAGTATCTTTCCTAAAACATGTTAATACAAAATGAGTGATGATCAATGTGCTTGTTTTTGTCTAAAACCATAAGGTTTTAAATGTATTATAATATACAGTATGTATGACAAAAAAAAGAAAAGCCTCAGAGAGTAGCTGGAAGCAGATAATATTAGGATTACTGCTAATTAAGAAGCTAAAACCATGAACTGATTTTCTAAATGGTTGCTTAAATATTTTCTTCTGATTGATCAAGTTATGCAGCTATAAATATGACACTGCTCACAACAGAACAGGAAGATGTTGACATGTGTTGTGTACGTATAAGGGAGCAACAGAGGAAAGGTGATAGTCTATTTGCAGCTCATAGAGTCCTATTGTGAACCGAAATGTTGAGCACCCCAAAGTTTTATGTTAGAAATGTATAGTAGGGTCCCCAGCTCATAAAAACTGCCGAATGCTAACTTGCATATGTCGGGCAATTTGCACAATTAGCTTAAGTTGCGTAATTAACATTATAGCTTATGTCCACAATAGTAAGTAAATGGTCTGACCGATTGTGGTTTTGGAGATAGCGGAATGCATTTCGGACATTTTCAGAATCTGAAATGGCAGTTAGCATCGGGCAGTTTCTATGTGCTGGGGACCCTACTATACATTTCTAACATAAAACTTTGGGGTACTCAACATTTCCAGGTTCACACTGCTAGCAACTAGACTAAAAGGGGGATCATCCTCTGGGGATCATGACTGTCTGTCAAAGGTTTCCCCTCCATGGATCAGTGAGTGACGTTAGCCTCCAGCAGCTTTTGTGTGTGGGGCAGCAGGACTGAATCTTTCTGAAGATGTACGCACTTACAGGTTTTCAGCCATCGAGACATGGGAATGTTCCAGGAAGTCACCACCAGCACCATGGAGCGGGGCATCTCCACACTGAGAGGCTTTACCACACTCATGTCCCTGCCCAATAAGCACAGAGACACATTTTATGACCAGTAACTCATCATTTCACTCTTCTTCTAGCGCACTAAATGGACCGATCGCATACCGCCAACTTCAGTCAAGAGGAATACGACATTATAACAGAGACCTTTAAAGGAAAATATATATAAATACACAGCACAAAAGCATCACTTTTGCATTATTAGAAAACATTTATCAACTAATTCATATGGAAAGGGAATCCAAACATGTAATATTATTAAGAAATACAGGTTTTGTTTCTGAGAGACTGCAAAAAAGGTGTGAACTTTGTAGTGAATTATTGGTGACTTCAGCATCATTATTACAGAAGACGTTGGAATCCTGCAGGACAGACCAGCAGAAACTATAAGTCAATTACTATTATCAATAAATAAAGGTTCTCGTTAGCACAGGTTTGGCCGCTGAATACCTTACAATGTGTCTGATGAACAGGTCTACCTCTACAGTGCAGTTCCCCCCTGCTCAGCTCTTACCATCTGATGTGGTCCTTCTCTTCAGTGGCCCCCGCTCCAGCCAGCATGCTGGTGCCTTCACTGAGGTGACCCACAAAGTAGTTACTGAAGTGGAAGGACACTGCGTTCTCATACGCATGCAGCCACCTGTGCACAAACACAAAGACACACATTACGTTTACTCAAACGCGGTTATCACTTTCACTTAAGACTTCCTGTAAGAGGACATCTTAACCCCCTTTTAGCGTAACTTCAGTACTTCCTTATGAACAGATAACTTAAAAGGCACTAAAGTAATCTGATAATCCAACACAGGTGACAGAATTGCATCTTCACCGGTTTGGTCTCAGAATGTTTCATACTTGGGGCATACGATGACATCTGATCCATCTTCATCTTATGATGAAGACCATGAGAGACGTGGGAGCTGATGAAGTGAATGAGTGAGTGAGTGAGTGAGTTGACCCTGAGACCAGGATGTTTTGTCTAAGGAGTAGTTAACTGAGGCCCCGTTTACATGGAGAGGGTTCGGGTTGTATCTGCTACTTTTTTCTATCGTATTGACGGTTCGTTCACACGAGGCAGCAACGGAACCGCGGAAACGGACCCCTCAAACGATAACGGGTCCCAAGGTGGGTAAATCTGCGGACGGAACGCTCTGGGGGGTCAAACGGCTCCGTGTGTACGCCCTATACGCCTTAGCCCCGCCTCTCCCCACCTCTCCTGCTCACCCCCGTGTCACCCGCGTCATTGCTGATGTGTTTCGCCAACAACAACAACAACCGAGTGTTTCGAGCCAGGTCCCGGTATCTCGCAGGACAGTGCACCCAGCAGGAGCCTCCAGCTAGATTTGATCGATATGGACATAAACGCGAGTGAAGTCTAATCGGACAGGTGAGAGAGATCAGAGATCAGCTGCTGCTGACGAAGACACGCAGCTCTGCATGATCACCTGCAGCTCCGCCCGCTGTGATGGAGCGATGAGCGGAGCAAAACACACACTTCAAGTTAGATCATCACCCTTAGCTATTTTAATTACCTCTCAAACTGCCTAAACTAGTTATAAATATGTTTATTTTTACTGTCTGGTCACTCATTACTGGATCAGCCAGCTGCATGAGACGGATACTGACGGCTGTCAGAAGAGGGGGAGGAAAAGAGAGACTCCGTTTATTATTCTTATATTATTATATAGAGTCGTTATCAATTTGGTTTAAAGCTCAATAAATAACAAAGAAGACCTTCGACCGGCACTTTTCTAATTTTGTCCGGAAGATTGAAACTTTAACGGACATGTTGACCGGCGAAAAAAACACAAGGGCAACCAGGCAACCATGCTTGGGAGGTCTTCTTCGCTGCTTTTGGTGTATTTTGTGGCGTTAGTACAGCGCCACTTACAGGCCCGGCATATGTACTACGCGTCTCCAGCGGGTCGAGCAGTCTCGTGTAGAAGGACTCGTTTATTGAGCCGATTGCGTGTGAACGGAAGACTTTTTTGATATCGAATTCGGTTCATTTTCGTTTCCGTCTCCGTGTAAATGGGGCCTAAAACACCTTACTACTGATAACTACCAAGCACGGGACTCTTGTTTGAGTTTTTGTCATTACAAACATTTGATATGTGAGCTTTGTTACACACGACATGTCTATCTGTTTTGGTTTGGTTCAAAAGTGAAAAGTCTAAAGGTCCAGACCAGAAGAGGTAGGTATGATAGAGACAGACTGACCTTTGAGTGGTTAAACATGTGCTGACAATGGAAGCATTTATCCATCATCCAATACCACATTTTTTGTATTAACACACTTCAGTTGTTCTATGGAAGCCTGTGGGAAATCAGCAAACTCTAACCCTGAAAACAATTCTTACCTTTCTCAAATGTATCTTGGAAGCAGGGAGAGAAAGACAGAAAGCATGTTCACAAAACAGTGTATTGTATTGACTCAATGTCTTAGTTGAGGAGGATAAAGATGTTTTTAAAGGTGCCTTACTTCTGTGTGATTGTGTTTCCATGGATGGGGATGAACAGAGGGAAGAGGTAGGGGGCGACGCAGGTGGAGACCAGCAGGCAGACCTGACTCTTCAGGAGGCAGAGGGAGGAGCTGCCCAGCCAGCGCCAGCTCTGAGGAACACACAGGGCGGTCCAAATGTCAGGTTAGCTTAGGAACCTTCCTAACGGAATGAAATGACCTGGAAGTTCCTCAGTGGCCGCCATGATAAGAGCTGTTCGAATTCTCTAGTCTAGATGAAAGGAAAGGAGGTTTGAAACTTCCTTTATAACCTCCTTTAGCTTAGGAACCACTGGACCTTCCTTTACGAAAGGAAATGCTGTCCCACAATGCCTTGCGGCTGCAACATTTATCGTGACTTTGTTTTGAACATTAATTTTTCACTGTAAAATAAATAATAATAAAGTCAACATTTCACAGTGTATACTGAGCGGAATGGGGTGAGCCACAATAAGTTTCACTTTACTTTTTTAATTTAAATTCAGATCTTGGTAATAAAGAGTATATTTGTCACTGTTGTCCACGTTCATAAAGCCGGCATAAAACCCATTATAACGCACGGTGCAAAGTCTTTATGTGCTCTTACAGTAGTCCTCTGTACAGACAACTGTAGTTTCCCCACAGCAGACGCACATTCATTTCTTCCTTTTGCGCATCATGAATACGTCCGATAGTGTCAGTGCAGTCGGATTCTCAAAGCACTCTATTCCTGAGTCCTGACGTTTCTCACAGAGGTCAAGGAATAGTGGTTAGGAAAAGATGATAGGAGCTGATTTTAGGACAATTCGACCGCAACCACACTCAACACCACAGCACTGAGCATGGAGAGCACCGTGCACACAGTTGGACAGAAGTACTCACCAGCTTTTTGCCCTCAATGGCGTTCTGATAAGTGGAGAAGCTTATCCAAGGGCCGAACACTACAGTGCCCACAAAGAGAACGTAGCCCAGGAACTGAGCTGGGGAGGGCAGGCAGCTCACGGCCCCCCTGTCCAGGTCAAAGGCCAGAGAGATGGCCTTCATGGCCACCACCATCTGAGAGCCTGAAACACACACACACACATTTTCAATTACCATTACATTTAGAAAAAAGTTACCAGATTATGGTTACCTTTTTTTTTAGAATAGAGATTACTAGCAGGATAGCAGTGTTACAACACATTTTGAACTAAAGATGGATATATTATAGGTAGACGTACTGAATGAGTTTTCTTTATGGTTTATATTTAGGCTACTTTAATTCTTTATTTTAAATACATTTATCTTGAATGCAGTAGGTGGACACTTGATTTATTAAACAAAAATACAGTCCATGCTTTTGATTAATGTATTAAGCATTTGTGAACTATGACTGTTACTACATTTTGGATATGAAGTATCTTGGTTTCTTCTTTTCTACGGTTACATTGTAACATTGCTTAATTAAAAAACATCTTATTGTTATTTATTTTCTCTTGTTTTTATTGATTTGATATTGATGTAATCTAAAAGTAATGAAAGGTAATCAGGTTACATTAATTATATATTTTGATACTCAGATTAAGTTACCGATTACATTTTTTGACATGTAACTAGTAACTGTAATTGTTCTTACTAACCCTCCCAACCCTGTTAATAAATGATATTGCACTCAAGCTCCATTCACTAAAGATGATTGTTATGCTAAGGTGTGTAATAATCAGGGTTCATACACTTTTTCACCAATGATTTTCAATGACTTTTCCATGACTTCTCCATGACCTTTACCTAATTTTCCATGACCAAAACAATTACTCTTTCTCAGCGGTACCACTGAAAATGGTTTATTTTAACATGGAATAGGAAAATAAGGTCTGAAACATGTTGTGCCTATCTAAAACAAATCCAATAGTAGGCTTACTAGCTTCTACACGCTAAAGCAACTCAAATCTCAACAGCAAAACACCTCGTCAGTTAAATGCCATTTTACGTTTCATTACTATACGATACAGTATGTATTATCATTATAGTATTACTATTTCGGCGATTAGATAACATATAAATTATATTTGATGCAACTTTAGTTACATTTCCATGACTTTTCCAAAACTTTGGGAAATATATTGTTTTCCATAACTTTTCCAGGGCCTGGAATTAGCATTTTGAATTTCCATGACTTTTCCAGGTTTTGAATGACCGTAAGAACCCTGAATAATGTTATCATGATGTGTTTAAAGGTCATCTTTAAAGCAATAGTAGTTTCAGCAGTGTATTGTTTTCACCCTGGGGTCCAATAGGATATTGAGAATTGTGGAATTTCGTAACGACTACTAAATGTGCTGTAGAATCCCTTTGCTAAGAACTACATCCTAGGATAATATATTGTTTTTACAATTTTCATACATTACAATATTATATTATATATTATATAAGATTTCCATAGCTGACAGGTTCACACAAACTTTTGAACATTGATTTTCACAGCAATAGATTTAGTACCATATGACCCATTCTCTGTTTCCTATCATAGTAAAACATATCACTGTCAGTTTTTAATTATTTTAAAGTAGAACAACGACTGTAAAAGGATAAACATGATCTTTGATGGGAAATGGGAACATTAAATACATAGTTGTGGAACTATGTGGTACTATCAACTGATTCAAATACACAACTAAACATACATCAGTGACAGTGTTCTCAGGACAACTGGTGGAATATTTACCTCTTATTTTATGCCAGGTCACCATGTCAATCAGATGCAACTCTCTGAAAGGAAGAGGGAAAAAAACTAAGATTTTACAATTTATTCTACACCAGAAATGTGTGGGTATGCTGAGTACTTATGGAATGGATAGATAGAAACTATTCAGCAGTGAGTAGGAGCCGCTCTAACAGGCTGCAACTTGTTTAAGTTAAGAATTAACATTTGGACTTTAGTGGCTTTTGTGAGCGAGGCCTGAAGAGACAGGCTCTCAGTGTTTTACCTAGACTTAGCAGCTTATGGAGCTAGTGCAGACAGTTCCTTTCCTAACAGTTGGCAACATTATGCTGGGTTTTTTAGTTGGACTATTTGGTGCAGTTTACTTTGCTGGCCTCTGAAACTGAAATTACTCACACAGACACACACAGACAGACAGACACACAGCCTCACACAGCCTCACACAGACAGACACACAGACTCACACAGACAGACACACAGCCTCACACAGACACACACTGACACACACAGCCCAACACAGCCCCACACAGACACACACAGCCTCACACATAGACACACACAGCCCCACACAGCCTCACACATAGACACACACAGACACACACAGCCTCACACAGACACACACAGCCTCACACAGACACACACAGCCCAACACAGCCTCACACAGCCCCACACAGACACACACAGCCTCACACATAGACACACACAGCCCCACACAGCCTCACACAGCCTCACACAGACACACACAGCCTCACACAGACACACACAGCCCAACACAGACACACACAGCCTCACACAGACACACACAGCCTCACACAGACACACACAGCCCAACACAGCCTCACACAGACACACACAGCCTCACACAGCCCAACACAGACACACACAGCCACACACAGCCACACACAGCCTCACACACACACACACACACACACACACACACACACACACACACACACACACACACACACACACACACACACACACACACACACACACACACACACACACACACACACACACACACACACACACACACACACACACACACACACACACACACACACACACACACACACAGCCTCACACAGACACACACCGACACTCACAGACACACGTATGTTGGTGATGGCCTCTGCGTTAGAGCTGTGCATATTCACTGGTTTCACGATTCGATTCGGATACGATTATCCTGTCAACGATTCGATTCGATATCCCGATGCATCACGATTCATACCAATGCGTTGCATCCTCAATTTTCTATATTACTGCACATGGCTTATTTTTCATCAATGAATACATGCAGTAAATACATATGAACTCTCTTTTTATTATTTAGAAAGTGCTTCAGAAATCAATAACATAAATGTCTTGACATTAAATTATAAACCAAAATAAATCAATTGTATAGGTCTAGCCTCCCTATATCTGTGTGTGAAATTGTTCCATCCTCAAAAACTAAAAACTAATGCTTCTGCAGTCTAGCTGCAGCTTCTAGCAACGGTCTTCTGTTAAAAAAAGGACACTGAATGTCCTGAATGTGGCATCATACACAGGACTTGAGTCTGAACACAGCAGACAACAGGAGTATTTACAACAGCATTATAAAAACAAAAATACTGCATGTGGGTGCACACTTACATTCTCTGTCTTACTGTTACATACATCCCATGATTGTATGAGATTAAAGGGGACCTATCATGCAAAATGCACTTTTGTACGTCTTTTATACATGAATATGTGTCCCCGGTGTTCCAGGGAACTCACCAAGTGTCAGAAAACACAACCCTCTCTATTTTCCTCCATACCCAAATCTCTAAAGAAGGGGCTGCAACGGATCTGATAAAAACTGATCCAGATTTGAACACTGTCCTGACGTCATGACGGTGGCGCTACGGCTATTGGGCCAACTCTCCACCTATCAGGGGAATGTGGGGTTGGGCCACGGCCGGCCATTGCCGCTCGAAAGCGCTGGAGACGCTGTAGTACATATGCCAGGCCTGTAAGTGGCGCTGTAGTCTGCCACAAAAGCAGCGAAGAAGACTTCCCGCCCATAGTTACCCTTCTGTTTATTCTCCGCTGTGGCTTTTTTTCTCCCTCCCCGAGGCAAGCGTTTGCTCCCGCTGCTTTAATTCAATGCAATCCCTCCCCGTCGAGGCAAGCACTGTAATTCTCTCCGGTTAGTCCACCAGCAGATGACAAACACCCACCTCTCCGCCTCTTCCAAGGAACGAGGGGACCGTGCAGCAGAGTTTCAGTTTCAGTTTGTTTCGCCGGTCAAGATGTCCGTTAAAGTTTAAATCTTCCGGACAAAATTAGAAAAGTGCCGGTCAGAGGTCTTCTTTGTTATTTATTGAGCTTTAAAACAAATAAATAACGACTCTATATAATAAAACACGGAGGACGGAGATCTCTTTTTCTCCCCCTCTTCTGACAGCCCAGCAGCTGATCAGAGCACGTCTCCCCTCTCCTGCAGGGGGGTGTGGTCAGCAGAATCAGACCCGTAGACAGCAAACAGCACATAGAGCGAAATGAGGCATGGCTAAAATGCATGATCTGTTTGGTATTTTGAAAACAGAAACGTATAAATATACCTTATATAGGTATGGCCCTACAATATATCATTTAAATATAGCATGATAGGTCCACTTTAAGTTAGCTTCATTATATCTCAATCAGTGATTAGGTGAATAATAAAGTTTCTATCAGGTTACTATCAGCCTGTCACTCATTATTTTCAGGGAGGGGGCGGGGTTTGGAGGAACGGAGAGGAGACGGTGATCGCGGAAGCTTTTTCCTCCTACCTTCACAAACTTTACACACGTATATATCAACTGAAAATAGCAAGAGGACATTCATACTCTGCAATCCAAGACTTAATTAAATCCACCAGAAACCTGACATGACGACAACGAGTGTTTTTCAAAAAGATAAAGCCTTGTGTGTCTGAGCCGCAGCGACAGGGACTGATTCAGAGCGGGTCCTTCTGCTGTTGGTTCTGGACTGGTGTTCTTGTGTTGGTGGATAAAGCAGACTGCTCCGTGTTTGGAGTCTCTGTGCCGCTGTCACGTCTGTTCCCTGATCTCTGCGTCACCGACCGATTTGATATTCAAGTGACAGAAAAAAACAACAACAAAAAACGTTATTGTCCAGCCGCGGCCGGAAGATTAGGAAGCAACGTTACTATGCTATTATCGATTATGTTCTGTCCCTGCATCGATGCAGAATCGTCCACGTCCGCATCACGATGTATCGTAGAAACGATTAATTTCAACACCCCTACTCTGCGTTCACTGTGATGGAGGGTTGACGCTACAGCTGGGTACTTTTCAGTTTCTTATTTAATCAAGATTTCAATACTTTAGATAAACTAAAATGGTTTGTAATCAATGCTAAAATGGTGCAATGTCACTGTTTCGATGTGGGTGATATACAAATGCATAACACATCAATCAAAAACTGCAAATAGTGTATGAGGGAGTTTGCAATTTGCAACTGTACATCGTTGCTGCAAAACATGAAGTCCTCACTGGAGAGGAAGTGTTTACGCTGCCACAAAGAGGACATCCAGGACTCTCAACAGCTAACCTGGTGTTTTCAGCAGCCAGTCTGTGTGTGTGTGTGTGTGTGTGTGTGTGTGTGTGTGTGTGTGTGTGTGTGTGTGTGTGTGTGTGTGTGTGAGCATGGCACATTGTGTACCTACAGTACCACAGAGGGGGTTTTAATACTTTGTTAGGTGTTTATATTTCTGTGTGTCCGTCTGTGTACAGATTTTGTTGCAGCGACAGCACCTGTGCAAGAAGAGGCCATTACCCACTCCCTTCTTTGTTTTAGATTTCCGAAAATTATTTCAGCTTCCAGGAACACATGTGTTTTTGCAGGTTATTTCTCACCCAACAAGGAGGTAGATGAGGATGAAGACAGAGAGGAAGACGCCTCTGCTGCTGGAGTGTTGGCTGAGGAGCAGAACCAGGTAGCAGAGCACACTGAGCAGAAGCACCCACAGCATGTGCAGCTGGAAGAACAGGAAGAGGCCGTACACCCCCGCCAGCACGGACACTACATGCTTCACAGTGGACTCACCTCCTGAGGAACACAAGCAAGAACATTTGATAAATGACGATAAAGTCCTCAGAGCTCGTTTCCTAATGAAGCTTTCATCGTACATCACATCATAAACCGGTTGCATTTAGGTATATTCTAGCCCATTGTAGTAAACATGGATGACAGAAAATCTACTATGTTAAAAAAAAAAATTCTATTTCACTGTCACTTGATCTTGAATAGGAGTAGTGTTGAAATCAAGGGACATTATCTAAGGCCCCGGCTCCACGAGGACGAAAACGGGTTGAATCCGCATATTTCTCATGCGTATAGCCCTCTAAGCTCGACGACGCCGTAAGGGAAACGTAGAAACAGACCCCGCAAACGACAACGGGTCCAAAGGTGGATAGATCTGGGAACGGAGCGCTCTGGGGGGTCCAACGGGGCCGTGGAGTCGCCTATACGGTCATTCGTTTTCATAGCCCCGCCTCTCCCCCGCAGGGTTGCTATCGTGCTCCAGTCGCTACTGACCATGCTACAGTTCTTTGTGCAACATCTACAGGAGCTCCTCCTTGAATTCAGATTATTTATCTTTATCTCGATATGGACATAAACGCGAGTGAAGTCTAATCTGACAGGACGGAGACACGCAGCTCCTGCCGCTGTGATGCAGCGGGAGCAAAACACACACTTCAAGTCAGATCATCACCCTTAGCTATTTTAATTACCTCTCAAACTACCTAAACTAGTTATAAATATGTTCATTTTTACTGTCGGGTCACTCATTAAAGGATCAGCTGCTGCATGAGACAGACAGGAAAAAGAGACAGGCTCAGTGTATTTGATGATTATATATCATTATATCGTCGTTATTCATTTGTTTTAAAGCTCAATAAATAACAATGAAGACCTTTGACCGGCACTTTTATAATTTTGTCCGGAAGATTTAAACTTTAACACACGCTGACCGGCGAAAAACTCTGCCCGGTTCTGTCGGCCCCCACTGCGGAGAATACACAGAAGTGCAGCCATGACAACCATTCTTCTTCGCTGCTTTTGTGGAGGAAGTTGCTGCTTTTGTGGAGGAAGTTACAGCGCCACGTACAGGTTCGGCATATGTACTGCAGCTTTCCCAGCGTTTGGATGTAAACGGAGCCGTCTCGTGGAGCTTGACACAATCCGGTGTATATTGCGTGGGGACGGAAGCTTTTTTGCGGTTGCATTTGCGTTACTCCGATGCGTTTTGCCGTATTTGTCCTCGTGGAGCCGGGGCCTCAGTATGTTAGTACACACCATACCATCCTTTTCCTTGAGCTATATCCACATGAAATAATGAAGACGAGTGTTGCTGTGAAGGCTTTACTTGCTGATAAGAGAGAGCACCCACCCAGTCTGAAACAGAGTCTGCAGGCCAGGCAGAGCAGCAGCAGCCCCCCCAGCTGCTGCCCCCCCTGCTGCACCGTGCTGACCCCGCAGCCCTCCCACAGCTGCTGCAGCACCACCAGCCGGACAGACAGCTCCATCCTCAAGCTGCACACACACACAATTTATTATTACAACACTTATCAACCCATGAAACTAAGACAAAATAATTGTAAAAACCAAAGGGGTTTAGATGAATGAAGGTCTGTGAGGAAACACCTCTGAAGAGCGGCCTCATAAGATGAGATAACATGAGATATACTTTATTGATCCCAATTTGTGACATTTTTCGTCACATCAGCAGTAGCATATACACCACTGTGAATATATACATATCAGTAATAAAGGATATATATCTATAAAGTATGTGTATTGAATACACAATATAACTATACAAATGTAGAGGATTGAAGGCAGTTTACATTATGATAGGCCAGCCTATCACAAACTCACAAAATGTAAACATTGATTACAATTTACATTTGAGTTAGCAGCATAATTACAGATTTAAATGAATCCTCAAGGGAGCACAAAGTTCAATAAAGCCTCTAACACAAGCTTAGTCCGGCAGTGGCTCAGTCAGTAGGGGCTTGGACTGTGAGCTGTAGGGTCGCCGATTTAAGTCCTCGACCAGACCTAAATATGGAGTGTGGACTTCTACTTGGAGAGGTCCCAGTTCACCTCCTGGGCCCTGCCGTGGTGCCCTTGAGCAAGGCACCGGACAACCTCCTTCCCCCCCACTCCCATTGCTCCCCGGGCGCTGTGCAATAGCTGCCCACTGCTCCTAGTACTAGACTCCTGGTACTAGGATGGGTTAAATGCAGAGGACACATTTCACTGTGTGCTGTGTGCTCTGCATGTGTGACCATTAAAGAGGGTTTCATCCTTCCGATTCTATTCTATTCTTCTATTAACACATCCCTGCAGAGTACGTACCTCCACAGCAGGATGTTTCAGTGGGCAACATCTCTTCCTCCCTGCAGCCTTTACAACCAGCATGCCCCTGGTAGACCCCCCCCCCCCCCACTCACACAATTTAAGACTACGACAACACTGTTGTGCAATAACACTTATGTGCAATTTGTAAATTATTAGAATCTACTTCGAATGTGACTTCTTTCACATTTGTAATCGTATAATGTGTGCATTCCCTTTCATCTAAAAGTGTTTTTTTTTTTTAAATGTTGTCTACATCTTCACTTTTGCTGTAACTATGTATATGTCCCCTCTGTGGACATTCTGCTTGTATAACCTGCACACCTCTGCAGACTGAGATATGCTAACCTTGCTACGTCAACTTCCGAGCTATAGGTCCTTCTAGCGTTAGTTTAAGAAACAAACCTAATATCGCCTTTTTCCAGCCATTAAAACATAAAAACATCACTTAAACAGTGTTAGCTACCTAGCTAAGTTAACATTAGATGCTTTGAAATAGTTCACTTACTAACTTTACTGTGAACGTATTGTCTTGTCCGTTGGAAGGTTGCCTTTAGACATGTTTGAAGACTGTGAAACAAATCAGCGCGAACGCTTCTTAATGAAATGAAGCAGCGAGCCGAGGCTAGCAGTAGTGCTACAGAGTTTATGAGTTAGCATGTAGCCGTGGAACAGGAGAAGGGAGTGTGTGCGGCGGAGACCTGTTCAGAGAAGGGAGTGTGTGTGCGGCGGAGACCTATTCAGACTCAGAGAAGCCCCGGTGACTCCAGCAGACGAGTGGAAGTTACGTTCAACAACATACCTCCACTTCTTCCTCTCTTTACGGCTGAGGCTGTGACCAGCGTTAAAGGTGCAGTACCGCCACCTGCTGCAGTGGAGTGTAGAACGGAAACATCTACCTAAACCAAGCAAGCCCCCAGTCTCCTGGTGGTCATACATACTACAGCAGAGAGTTTGGAAGAAATATACTGTACAATAGTAAAGTTATTGAAGATGATGCCATATTTATTGAAGACTTTACATTATAAATATTCACCAAAATTATTCAAAAGCATATTCTTCCAAACTCTGCTGTAGTATAACCACCAGGAGACTATTGATGTGTGTAGTGAGTTTGGTAGTAATATACTGTATAATAGTGAAGTGATTGAATATTATTGTATTCTCTTTTTTCGGAGAACTTTGCACTTTGCAGACGGTCCCTGAGCACTCGTTTCTTCTCCGGCTGCAGATAGAGACCAATGTAATGTGTCCAGCTCGGAGGACGGCGCATATTGGCTTTTTTTGATCAAAATGTGATTGTAGTTCGTTGTCAACCTTACCACGGTACTTAGGAGACGTAATTTGTGTCTGAATAACCTTTTGTTCATGAGTTATTGATCCGTAAAATCCGAATCTGCCAATATCATTCCAACTTTACTGAACTACCTTGAGCTAACTTATCCATTAGCTAGTAGCCTACCTTAGTTAACTATATTTGTTCTTGTCTTTTAGCTAATTAGCTGTAAACTCGAGGCACTGGCAGTTTAGTAATTTGTTCATCACCACTCACCTTCAAAATAAGCCAAGAAAAGCCGGCATAACATGGGACAGTAAAGTGGGAGGTGCTTGCTTGATTGATTGATTGATTGAAAAGTTTATTAACAGCTTGTATATTGGGTACAGTACAGTACAGCTCAAAACATACAATTGTTAAGGGGATGCAGACCAGAGAAAGACTTTCGTCTTGTTTACATCAGGGTCCCCCATTTCCAATTCATCATATCATTTAAGACATATAAGACATATTTGACATACAGATGACTTATTTACAATTTACATACAGGTGGTTTTTTACATACAGATGGCTTATTTACAATTTTCATTTTAGATTTCGTTCTAATACATCCTAACCGGACATTTAAGACATACCAAGTCAACAGATATACAGTTAGTAACAGAGTCTAAAATGTGAGTATATACATAGATGGGGGGGGAAGCTGTCCATTGTACGACAGGTTGAGATTTGTACCATTACCGGGGCCAGTTTTGCAATGCTCTCCCCCGAAGGTGCTCTTTAAGAGAGGTTTTGAAGGTAAGTATAGTTTTACTTTCCTTTACAGTTGTGGGAAGAGCGTTCCACCTTGATGTGGCATAATTGCGAAACGTGTATTCCCCCTTTTTTGTGCCAAATCTGGGTTTTACATGATTTGTGGAGCTCCCTCTGGTGTTATGGTCATGGTATTCCTTGACCTTTGGGAAGAATTTTGACATGTACATGGGTACCATAGAGGTGTAGTGGATCTTGTAGACCAGGCCCATTACAAGTAGCTGTACTCTGTCGTCTACTCTAAGCCATCCTAGGTTGTCAAAGTGGGCAGAGGTGAGGTGGGTTCTAGATGAAAGGTCAAGCAGTAGTCTGATCAGTTTATTTTGCGATGTTTGAAGTTTTATTTTTAGCGCCTTGGAGGTGCTATGGTACCATGACGTGCAAGCATAGTCATAGTACCCTTGAATGAGTGCTCCTGCCAGAGTTTTCAGGGTGCTTTTGTTTACCAGAGAGGAGATCCGGTATAGGAATCTAGTTCTTTGATTGACTTTTTTTATTACATTGGATGCCATTTTGTCACAGGAGAGGTTTGCCTCAAGAATAGATCCTAGGTATGTAATTTCCTTCTTACTAGTGACAATAATGTCACCCACTGCAACTGAGAAGTCGTCGGATTTGCTGAGATTATGTTTCGAACCGAAGAGAATGGACTCTGTTTTACCCAGGTGTAATGATCATTTATTATCGGCGAGCCAGGTGCAGATTCTGCCGAGCTCGGAGCTGAAGGTTTTTTCAACCTGCAATCTGCTCCTGTCAGAGACCAGCAGGGCTGAGTCGTCCGCGAACAGGAACAAGTTGCAGTCACATGCTGATGACATGTCATTTGCATAAATTAGGAACAGTAACGGACCTAATATGCTTCCTTGTGGAACACCACAGCTCACTGGGAGGGGGGGGGACAGAGTACCGTTTACCTCCACCATCTGTTCTCTCCCCTCCAGGTAGGATTGCATCCAGCTCACCGATAGTTTATCAAAACCAATTGCTTTTAGCTTGTCAATCAGAATGGGGTGATTGACAGTGTCGAAAGCCTTTTGTAGGTCCAGCATCACCATGCCGCAGTATTTACCCTCGTCCACCTCTTGTTTGATGTGGTTGTTCAAATAAAGAAGGCATGTGTCAGTGGAGTGGGATGTTCTAAAGCCAGATTGAAATTCATAGATTAGTTTCTTTTCCGCGAGGTACTTTTCGACCTGTTCATATACTATTTTTTCCATGACTTTCGAGATGGAGGTAAGTATAGAAACAGGGCGGTAGTTGCCTGGGTCCAATTTGCTGCCCTTATTTGTGCAGGGGGGTTACTCTTGCAATTTTGAAGTCTTTGGGTACTTTTCCCTGTTTTATGGAGAGGTTAATTATGTGAGCTATGACTGGTGAGATGGCGGTTGCTGTGTCTCTGCTACCTGTCCGTCTGAAGCAGGGGTCGGCAACCTTTTTGATATGAAGTGCCATTCAAAAAAAATAGTTTTATCAGCGTGCCGACGATCGTGAATTATCAACGGGGGGGGGGGGGTGAAGAGCTCGACGCTCGTGAACTGTCAACAGGAGGAGTAGTATGAAGCTGCAGCGTCGGAGGCTGCAGTCTCAGGACCCTAGTTGTTTTGCAACATCGCCACCTAGTGAGCAGGAGACATGAATATGAACGACAACGCAGAGAGTGTGAGTAGTGTCAAGTGCTTTTAAAGTTTTATTTGTTTAACATTAATAACAATTCCGGTGTCTTGAAATGAAGTGTGATTAGCTAACATTAACTATGATAGTCTTAAGGCAATACAAACAAACATCTGTTAGCTTATGATAGCTTCTAACAGTATTAAAGGCACTAAAAACAATTATTCGTTAGCTATAGCTTTCGGCAAAAGCATTATTAGCAAAAGCATTAGCTTCGTTAGCATATTTGATTATTTGTTTAATGAAACTGTAGCGTGATTTTGGCAAGCCCAACTAGGTGTCCTACATTAATTGTTGATTTAATCACTAATTACAGTAAGAGTGTGAGTAATGTGAATCATGTTGTTTGTTTAAAGTTAACAACTATTCTGGTGTATTCAATTGGACAGCAATACAAGCAACACGTGCTAAATGTCATCTGTTAGCCTATGATGACTTACTGCAAAACCAACTGTTAGCCTTTTTGTTTATTTGTTTAATGAAACCGTATGTTATGGTTATGTTATTTAGCAGAGGCTTTTATCCAAAGTGACTCACAAAAAACATAAAATAACCATAATTAACATTAGAATATCAATACAAATAGTTACATAGTCAGTTACATTACTTATTACATTTTTAACAGGGTAATTAGTCATCTGTAACCTACTACATTTAAAAAAAGTAAACTTCCCAACCCTGATCATTAATTATAGTCAGCTAATTAATTAAACTTCAGAGGATGACAAAAGCATGTCAATATGATCTGTCTGTCCGCTACATTAAATCAGCAGTAGCCTAAGTTCTGTCTTCAGTGTAAATGCTTCTTTAATAGTCATTGTATTACTATTTGAATTCATTGTAAATAATCTTAACTGTGCTGACTGCCTGTTTACTGTTTATCAGACAGTCTCATCATTTTGACATGTTTTGTAATATTGCACGAGGTGTTTTAGTCAGTTATTATGTTGGCCTATTCTGTAGGTTAGAATATTATGAAGTTGATTGACTAAGAGTAAGGTCAGCTAAATTAAGGAAGGTTTTGTTATTTTTCTGTCTGAATTGTAATTTTCTTATGACATTCTACTTCAGGTGTCGTCAACTGGAATATCTTCAGAGGGACACAAACACGAATTTAGGAAGGCCTACCAAATTTCCAGGTGCTTTCAGTGTGACAACCTGTATAAGGACGTTGGCACAGGCTACCGGGGAAGTGGACGGCGAGGAATATTACAGGGTTTTTACTCAGAAGAGGGCTTCCCGGGGTACTGCAGCTGGAGCTGTTTTCTGGTGGTTGAGGGAACAGCAGACCCCGCCTCACCCCAGTGAACAATCCACAGTGTGGAAATTGTGCCCAATAAATACAAATGTATTCTGCACTGAAATGCCTCTCGTCAAATTGCATGTTTATCTTTTGCAGCCTGGTGCATAAACACACTAACAGTTGTTTTTGAGTAATCTAGCACCTCTTCAAAGACACATTTGATTTGATTTATTTCGAACGTGTAATACAATAAAAAATATATATATAATAATAATGAAATGAAACAAGAGAATTATGATACCGTAGAAACATAAGCAGTATCAAATTGATTCAAAGGAGTTTACACTTATTTAACCCCACCCCTTCTCCCAAAAACGAAATTAACAGTTTTGTTTTCTTTTAACAAAATATACATCTAAATGTATGTCTACATACAATATACATTTACAATTATAAATAGATTATATCATTATTACTACAACATATATATATATATATTTATGTTGTATGTCAAATTTGATAAGACAAATATAAAAGACTATCTTTTTACATCTGACATACAAAATACATTTGTTATTAAAAAACAAAAACATATTAACAACAACTTGTTGTTAATAATAATAATTTAATTTCAGTAAGAAAAACATATTTTCATGCATTTTTAGATGGTTAATAACAAGCATTACAATGTCTAAAGAGACTCGCTGTGTATGAGACTCAATACTCGCTGGTTGTACTTTTGCGGTCATCCAATCCACTAGA